TACCAGACCAGAGGCTGTCCAGAAGATCCAACGAGTCAGCCCCCCACACCTCTACCAGAGGCTGTCCAGAAGATCCAACGAGTCAGCCCCCCACACCTCTACCAGACCAGAGGCTGTCCAGAAGATCCAACGAGTCAGCCCCCCACACCCCCCACCCCCGACAGGAACATCTGAAATTAAAGACTGTTCCTTGAAGGGAGGCAGAGCCCCCTCCCCCACATGCTCTTTCACAATAAGAGCGTCTAATGATGGTTCATGAAAAGTTCAGCGAGTAGCACAAAGTGTGTGTTCTTAACGACTCTCAGCTACTACCACACAACATCAAGCTCATCTGTAAAACTAACGCCATTGTTTCTGTCCTACAGCCAGTTGGCTGTGGCGGCCATCTTGAATAAGGTTGACTCAACCACATGTAATGTCCAACCAATGATTACTTTATGAGAGTTTTATTAAAGCCCTTGAACTGGTTCATGAGATATTTTGCTAACAAAGAGATGACTTCAAATAGTCAATGGTACAACCTGAAACAAAGATCTTGCACGACCGGTTAGTGCTCAGTATATTTGTTGGAGATCAGTCTCAGCTACAACCACACCACAGTTTTGGTTCACGTCTGTAAAACTGACCGAGTTATGGTCCTTTTAAGATCAGGTTGCTGTGGCGGCCATCTTGAATCGGCTCAACTCCAAAGGGTAATCAGTTTTGCAACCAGTCGTTGGTCTACATTTGAATATTGTCACACAGCACATTTCAAACAGTCAGTGGAGATAAATACTGAGTTGGTCTAACCCCTGGATGAAAACAGACCGAGACACAGAACGATGGAACAGACGCCACGTGAAAAAGAAAAGGTAAGGTTCATGTCTCGTCTTCTAAAAAGAAACAAACTAAAAGCTGTTAAGTAGTCATTTTGGAGGAGGAAATCAAGTGCTAAGAGCAGAACTCTACCGGGAGACATTCTGTGACTGATAGACAAATTTTGTTGCAAACTAAGTAGAGAAATATTCACCAACACGTTTTATGAAAACCCTACGGAGTCTGAGTTACAGAAACCCCCAAACATGATTTTATTCATGTAGAAATTGTGTTAAAAGCTTAAAATGTTTAACCCAAGACTGGAAAACAACATATGTTAAGAGCTCTCATGGCGTAGAACTTTGAGGTGTTTGGCTGTACGTGTCAGACCTGGGCCACAGCAGCTTTGTGCTTCTTCATCAGCTCGTTGAGGTCCTCCTGGTCCTCCTCCATCCTTGACTGCAGCTCGTTCTTCTCTCGCTGCAGTCGGCTCAGCTGTTCCTCCAGCTAAAAGACAGGAAGCCACACAAACATCAGAGAAGAACAGATTGCATCACATTAGGACTAAAGCTGCGTTCACAAGCAGACAGACACAAAAGACGTTTGTTTTTTCTAAACCAACAAACAACTCAACTTCAGGTCAATGAAACAAACACAGCTCTGTTTTGGTTATCCAGGGATTCAAATGTCCTTCAGAACAGCTCTGGTCCACCCCCCCCCCCCCCCCCCCCCCCTCCACCCCCCAGGAAACACAGTCAGAAGCCTTCTCCAGATCTACAAAGCACATGCACTACCTCTGAAACCTCTCACATAATGACCTCATTCAAACTCTGCCTCCTCCAGACGCTCCTTCCACCATCAAACCATCTCTCAATCTGGGTCAACAGTTTCCCACAAAAGCCAAGCATAGTGCAGGGCAGGGCTTTCTCAATACTCTAGTCTAAAATGACCTATGTAGGAGTATATTTCATTAAAATATAAAACACTGAAGTGTAGACCATGCATGATGTGGACACTGAATGTTGGGAAGCATCCTGAAGTGGTTCAACCTTGGACCTGAACAACTAATGAGAACATACATGACTGAAACTGTCAGGAAGTAAAGTTACTGAAAAGAGCCAAACATGGACAAATCTGCATGTCAAACAAAATTTCATAAACTTATCTACTTATAAAGCATGTGTTGTGCATGTGTCATTGTGCACCGTCTGAACATCAACTAAATATGAAAATGTTACGTAAATTTAAAGTATTGACAACGTTTGGATACGTTCACACACAAACAGCACATCCAGAACATATCCGTGTATTTCACGTGTATTCCACATGCATTTCATGTGTATTACACATGTATTCCACATGTATTTCATGTGTATTACACATGTAGTCCACATTTATATCACATGTATTCCATGTGTATTCCACATATAGTCCACGTGTATTCCACGTGTATTCCACACGTGGAATACATGTGATATAAATGTGGAATACATGTGTACTGCACATGTATTTCATGTGTATTACACATGTATTCCACATGTATTTCATGTGTATTACACATGTAGTCCACGTGTATTCCACGTGTATTCCACATGTATTCCACATTTATATCACATGTATTCCATGTGTATTCCACATATAGTCCATGTGTATTCCACATATAGTCCATGTGTATTCCACGTGTATTCCACACGTGGAATACATGTGATATAAATGTGGAATACATGTGTACTGCACATGTATTTCATGTGTATTCCACATGTATTCCACATTTATATCACATGTATTCCATGTGTATTCCACATGTAGTCCACGTGTATTCCGTGTGTATTCCACATGTAGTCCACGTGTATTCCATGTGTATTCCACATGTATTTCACGTGTATTCCACTCATGACTTTCCACAGTCCAGGTGGTCTCTGTTGTGTTGGCACCATGAACTGTTCTGGTGTTGAACTTTAGAACTCTGCATCAGGACGTTACTGACACCTACTGAACCCCCCCGCCCCACTCTCACCCTCCACTCTGCTCCACTACTTCCAGGACAGGGAGCGGAGGTTGTAGCAGCACAATACAAACATAGTCCTCCACTAATTCAACAATGCAAAAATGCCCATCATGTTATAATGTATTTTATTTTTTTCTTATTTCTACTGAGTTCTGAATTTCTACTAGAACCTCTCCCTCTGAGACACGTCAAGGTGCACTTCAGACACCAGAAATAAACATCTGGAGCAAATTAATTTACATACTACACTTTTCTTTTTAAATCCTTCACTGAGTGCTGATAAAAGCTCTGAGTTCAGCAAGTCATAAACATTTAGGAGAAACATGATGGAGAAGAGCTGATCTCCTGCACCAAATATTCATTTTTAAACAGTCTGGTCAAATCTGTAATCATAAAACAGACCATACCAGCCGTCTGTGGAGGAACACCAACCTTTAAAAACCAACAGAAATGTGTATAAACACAACAGTTACAGACAAAGGAGCAACCAGTTTGTCTCTGCAACAATTGTTTTACAGAACTAAACTAATTATTAACAACCTCTAAAGAAACTGCAGCGTTGTACAAATGTTTTTGACTTTTAACAAATAATCTAACAGCAGAAAGGTGAGGGTAGAAATACCTCCCTGTCCTTCCCTTCATCACGTTGCTCTAAACTCGCTGCTTGGATAATTAATGAGCTTTAAAACAGTGTGAACCAAACTTTTCAATATTCTATAAGCTTTAACAAATAAAGCATAAAGTTTATTTTGGCAGGCAGGAGGAGAAAAAACCTTCAGACAGAGGGATAAAGGACAGAAAGACAAATGTGGGAGTGGAAAAGGACAAAGGGTCCTTTGACCAACACGTAGAAAACAGACTACCAGAGAAATGGCCATAAAAACTCGGACAAACGTCACGGGTCAGAAGGAGAGAAACATGTGACAGAAAAACAAAGAACATCTTTCAGATAATTTGAATAAAATGAAACATGAAGAAACAAACATGTTGGATGAGCTCTACAGATGCATCATGTATTCCAGGTGAAAGATACTGTTTATTTTATTTGATTTAATCTTTATTCATACAGGCACTGGGTCATGAGGACTTACTCAGCTTCCTGGTTCAGCTTTTTTACAATGATCCTATCATGACCTTTAACCTTTAACCTACTAATTCAAGCCTGTAGAGTCTGAGATGGGGTGTGTTTTTCTGAGCATTACACAGCCTGACCTTCGGGGTGAGGTCAAACTCTGTATAATTGCTGAGTCCAAATAGATTGGAAATGACCTTTGACCTTTCCCAGGTTGCTGGGTAGCAACATTTCTTCATTGGTGTTATTGCTGATGTCTTTACAGCTGTTTGTTTATTAAAAACAATGATATGGTGGAATCTGTTGTTTATTTTTGTTGACTTTATATTAAATGTGAATAATTGCACAATGTGCTAAAGGCCAGATCAGTTTGATCTTGTTTGAATAATTAAAATCCTTGGACTGGAAGGAGGACGACTTGTTCCTATGACTGTAAGATGAAGACACACGTGCACTCACCGCCTGCTTAGCTTTGGAGGTGTCCTCCATGTGAACATGCAGGTCTTCAATCTCCACCTCCATAGCTTTGCGAGCTTTGACTGCAGCTGCACACGTGAACTCGGACTCCTCCAGCTGCAGCAGACACAGAAAACATTCATCACTTCAACCTGAGAGGCTTGAAACAGGCTCATTTAGGCTCGAACAAAAACTCTTTATGGAACAACATAATACTGTTCAAACACAAAACAGTGGAGCAGTGGTTAGAGCTGCCGCCGCTCAGGAGCAGGCTTTGAAAAAGACAGGAAGTAAAAACTAATAAATAAAACTGTAAAAGGCTACAACGCCTTTACTTATCAAATGCACGCCTTAGCACAAACGATGAACCTGTCTGACTGTTGCGTTAGCAGTGCAGGGTGGAGCCACACCTGGTTCTTAAGCTGAGCGATCTCTCTCTTGCTGGGAGCGTTGTTCTTGATGTGGTCCAGCATGATCTGAGCATCAGCCAGCAGAGCCTTGGTCCTCTTCAGGTCCTTCCTCAACCGCTTCTCAGTGTCCACGTCAGCAACTCTCTCCTGGAGAACAGGTACACGAGTCAGGTGAGTCAGCTGGAGAACAGGTGCACGAGTCAGGTGAGTCAGCTGGAGAACAGGCGCACGAGTCAGGTG